TTCCCAGTCGCATGTGTGATTTTTGATGGTTTAATCAAACTGAGCCTGGTTTTGTGTACAGCATAGTGGGCTTTAGTACTGCAGGGAATTCTGAATATCATACATAAACTCAGACACTGATTAATCTGTTATCGATTTCCGAGAGTTAGCTATTGATAACGAGGACTGTAATTCATGGGACAGCATAGGGTGCAGGACGAGGGATTAATCAGTGTCCCCATGAGTGGTCACACATACCCCTCTCAGTTTTGGCGGGATAGTTGAAAACTATCCATTGTATGAATGTTCCTGTGGCATAAAATTATCCACGAAACCGCTCCCACTTTCGAACTAAACCGCCCGTTATAATTGCCAATGCACCAAATAAAGCAAACCACGGCCATGCTAGTAATAGTTGCCATTATCGAATCCTAGGGTCTTCACTGACAGCCCAGCGGGAGTAGATGCATTCACTGGCATTGAAGTCGCCTCATCAATCATTGCAAATGATCCTGACAACATGACATGGTCGAAGTCTGAGGAAGGAGGCTCACCGAATCTGTTGATGACCCTCGTGACGGCGAGTGAGTCCACTTTCTGTCGTTCTTCCAAAGTGACCACGATATGATCAAGGCTTCGTAAAGTCGGTAAAGCTTGAATGACCGTGAGCCGATACCTATCGAATTCACTATCGATTCATACACGTCCAAAAGTTGATAGAATTATGAGTAATCCGACTCACAAGGGAGTCCGGCAAACAGGGTTGGCTGACAGGTCCAGTCGTCGTAATCTTGGTAGGCCATTGAGAGCTAAGCGTTCGACCTCAGTGATATCCGATATACGGTTTGATGCAGCAAAGAGACCTCTGAGGGGACAGCACAATACCAGTGAATCACGAACGAGTAAATCCCACGTCAACTTCGGCAAATGCCTGACAAACGCCAAGTCGTGCAGACTGTTGTTCTCCAAGTGCAGCTCCCGAAGATTCGTCGACAGGTCGGATAGAGTCATTTGACTCAGCCGTCTCAATGAGCTCAACGGAGAGCCGCTCACGGGCATCCCCTGTGGGTTTGCTGATGTGATTAACAACAACTATTCCTACCATTAGTTGGGGGAGGAATCCCCGCGCTCTTCTCAAGGCATCCATCTCTCGTTCAGCCTTCATATCATTCAAGGCATTTTGAAGCTACCGTTGAGCTCAGGACGTGGAGTGGTAACTCATTCTTACTGATTTGGCGTCACGATACTTCGACCCATCATTCGATCCAATTCGACGGAGCTTTGTCTGATCCAGCACGAGCTCACGCAACTGGCCGAAATATGTAAGAACAGTATCTTCATCAGCAAGCTGGACTTCGTTGTGAAGTATAATGCGTACTGAAATCTATCTCTGCCAAGGCATTGCCTTGTATGTGGAGAACCCTCAGAGTACTTCCACAAGGGAAAGCTGTCTGCAGATTGCATAAGTCGCTTATCTTATTGAAACCCAAGTCCAGGACCTGCGGAGCTGTGGTGAGCAACAAGTAGACTTGAGCTCATAAAGATGACAACTAATTTCCGAGTGATGTTTTAGATTCAGATAGTCCTTGTGACTATTCGATCGACGCGTTCGCAAACTATAAAAGCCCGGGATGTCGGTTTCCGAATGTATGCGAAACTCACTTGCAGAGATGGGAACCTCTCATGCATCTTGTCATCGTCAGTAGTAGTTAGAGCATCAGCATCTACATCGTCACACTTTCGACTACCATATGTAAGGTCATACCACCTTACCATAGCGTCGTCTCGAAGCTAGGGTTAGTCTGTTATGGTCGACGATGAGCACAAGGAGGCTAGGGAGAGGGCCCAGGCCACAGAGGTGACGTAAACGGTTATTGCTCAAATGGAGCTCTCTGAGATCGCCAAGGTTGAGTGTGGCGACGGTGATCCACCCTAACTTGAGATTTGGGAAGAGCTTTTCCGATATGAGGTGTTCTCCCAGACTGCGCAGTTTCAGTCCTTCGAGATCGAGGACCTCAAGATTCCAACCGAGGGATGGTTGACTCGATAGTCTGAGTATTGAAAGCAGTCAAGACGTGCTGCAACGTGTGTGGCCGGCTCGCCTTTCTTCCAACAGTTCTATTGTCACTATCCCAGAGAAGCGAGCTCTGGCTCTACCAAGCTTAGCCGAAGTGACAGTCTCACCGTTCAATACCTAGTAGACCCGATCGAAGGCTCTTATCAATCGAAGAACGCCGTTTCAAAGCACTCACTTGGAGGGTCGCAGTCTTCATGTTGGGAACCTCAGTCAGCTCTCTGACGTCTTCAGAGCTCCAGCAACAGAAATGGAACAGTATGAACCTTGGCAAGGGCGTGCGCCCACAGGGCCGTGTGCGGAGCTTGTTCACTCTTCACTGTACTGGTCTTCCACCATGGGGTTACCGGTCACATCAAGAACTGCTAGTTCTGGTAGACTACGCAGCTCTAGTGTTGAGCCCAAGTCCGCCAGCTTGTTTCCGGCGGCGTAGCTGATTAAATGGTCGTAATCATGATGATGCCATATCGATACCACAACTCACAGACATCGCAATGTGCCCATCGCTGAGATACCCTCGAGCGAATCGAGTTGGTTCGAGCTGACGTCAAGGACCTTGATACAGGTCATCTAGATTCCAGGCAATCAAATTGGCTCCACCTTTATTTTTGTCTCACAAGCGTTGGTGATCTCCAAATCTCGGATCAGGTTTCCCGAGATATCCAGAAGACGAATAGGGCAGCGGGAAAGCAGCTTTTCGATGCCTGTGTGAATGGTTTCGATGGAGTTAATCTCGGTCAAGTTACCGGTGACTCTTTCTATGTGGTTATTCGCCATTGACAGCACTTCCAGTGAGCCGAGGTGTTCGATGCACTGCTCGACAAAGACCTCTATGTGGTCGCCGATCCCACAAGAGTCTACTTTCAACACGCGGATGCTATTATAGGGACGTTGCTGAGTAGAGAAGCTTTCATTGCCACTAGAACAAGCGAGATCAGGTAAGTGGTTCATAGAGTCGTAATAGGGGACAAGCCAAGTGTTGTTATTGGTAGAAATGACGACCAATGAGAGATGCTCATCCCTCACCATGAGCATGTCGGCTAGTCGTGTGATCAGGTTAGATCCCAGCACTTCAGAATCATTCAAATCGATAACGGCGGTTATTCCATCATCTTCCGTCGTCAACTCCTCCAACCTACAACAGCTCGACCATGGTCACGATACGATGCTCCCCCGCAAGCGCCAACTTGCCCGAATAACCCTCGAGTCACACATCGCGCACTTTCGCATAAGCTGGTTATGCTCTCCATATACGACAAGGTTGAAAGCTTTGATGCCTGAGAGCCGCAACCTCTATCAAAAAGGTTCTGCCTACGCGGACTAACACTTGGGGAGTTTCCCGATCGTTCTGGGGAGGGGGTATTTCTTGACCATCTAGAAGTAGCAGTTGTGGTAGATAACGGATAGCCTGAGGCGACCGCCTACTACCACTAGTAAGCGAGAAGCATCTTCTCGACCTGTCTCTGCACTCCTCTCGGGGGCCACAGGTTCCCGAGGAGGCCCAGGGATCGCAAACTACGACCAACATCTTTTGCGAGAACGCGTAGAGCATCGTGTAAATCAGTGAGGAGATTGTAAGCCAGATTGAGAGTGTCGAGATTGTCGAGTGCTGATAGTTGTCCTGGTTTTATCGATGCCAAAGAGTTATGGGATAGGTCCAAAGACCTTATACTAAGACAAACAGGATGATCTGGCATTGAATGCCTTCGCTACGCTCTCAAGTTGATACTGTCCACAGTCTGCAGTGGAAGCCAGTCGAGACTATCAAGACGGTTGAACGAGACGTCCAATCCAGTGGCTTCCTTTCCCGATATCTGAACATCGTCAATCCTTGGTTGCTGATGTGGTAACCCAATCTGTGCGGATGACAAATCGTCTCCTCTTACGGTGATTTCGTCCAAGTCGAGTCCAGAGAGGCGCAAGATGCCGGTGAGGTCAACATTGTGGCCATCGGACAACTGCTCGTCGGGGCTCTCTATAACAGGAAAACATACTAACGGTTAGTTTCAACGCTTTCATGCAATATCAGCAGGGATGAACAACCGGCGATGAACGTGAGCTCATCACGAATTAGGGACGGCACTTCGATACTCTCGAGCTCCCGTTGGAGGAATGAAGACAACACTCTGCAGTCTTCCCAGATTGGATCCCCATGAAAGTCGACATTGCTATCGCGCTCGCCCTCCCCTGCTCTGCGAACAACACCGATCGCTAGCGAAGAACTAGTCCGTGTGCTCGACGAGCGATCCATCCCTACCGGTTGAGCTCTAGAACTAGGTCAATCTCGGCCACTGGGAGGATCATCACTGCCTATGGGGAAGGCCTCATTTCGATGCAATCCGTTTGTGGTGTTCTCACGTCAGTTGTCGCTTCGTCATTCCGACAAGTTGTGCGTTTTCCGACTACGACCGAGCCCAAGGGGAGCGTAGACTTCCAGTTCCTGTATGAAAAAGAGATCGAGATTTAGAAGCGATAAGCACACAGCTCGTACTGCGTCTTCGTCGACTCCTTGATAAGTTTCCGTATCAATAAGCGTCCAACCTCAGTGGACAGGAGGCTCTCTAGACGAGAGCCTGTCGCCTTCAACAGGCTCTTGGTTGGCTCTCCTTCGGTCCAATAGACGAGCTCGCAATCCTCACCGGAAAGCAGGGCGCTCCTCAGAGCTGATGATGATGGCACAACAGAACGTGTGAGGTCTGAGAGGCAACTCTATCAGAGTCACTCATTGCAGCCTTGAGTGAGTCCATTCTGTGGATGGATGAGGCTTAGCCGTGATTCCGTTTGGATTGTATGATACTGCGTTGTCCCTTACCTCTTCGTTTTGCCGATGTACGTACTAGCTCATCAAGCTGCCGCGTACAGTACTGAAAAACATGAGTGGTGAACTAACGATCCTCGTGTAACCACCAAGAACAGTTTCAGCGATTTCACTTATCCGTGGACCGCTCTACTCACCGAATTGAAACGTGCTGTAGCGCAGACGTCTTCGATTTGTAGGAAACTCCGGGTGAAAGCCTGACTGCTTCCCCAGTATTGACCAAAGTGATGTATCGTTTTGGTGCTATTACGGATCAGTTCACCTGTTCGAGGGCCGAGTTCGTATCCGAGTAGTTCATCAAGGCGTACTGAGGTCCTGTAGGGTTGGCGAGGTATCCGAAATGAACTTCAGCAGTTCTGGTTGGGGATTTGTCTTGAGATCGAGCTCTCGATATGAGATGTTACCGAACGTCATCTAGACACATGGATAGCGGAACCAGTGGGAGGGAGAGAGCACAGACTGTCGCTTGTGTGAGTTTTGTTCATCTGTCTGTGGAATGTACTCCGTAACCATTCTAGATATCTCAGCGATGCACACATCAAAAAGCGCATGGTTTTGCGTATTCTGCATAGGATGATGATTCACGACCCTTACTTCATGCGGTCTATGCAAGGGACGCGTGAGGATGCCCGGATCGGGAAAGCTCCAGCAGTGCCGGGAAGAATACACAAACACTCTTAACAGCTAATTGTTATACTTTGAGTGAAAATGCCGAATCCTTGAACTAATGTTCTAATGAATATTCCGAAAGTGCGTACTTAGCCGTCTTTCGATCAAAATGTTCACTCACTTGTTCGACACGCAGCCGCTGGACCGACCTTCCTAGAGAAGAGTCAATCATATCTAGCATGTACAGCCAGTAAGCATTGATGAGTTCGTCAACACGTTCCTTAAAGAGCAAGACTAATACGAGCACGTCAGACAGTCTACAAAGCTCACCAACTCTGCTCTTATGATAGGCCTTTTGCCTTCAAAGAGCCCCTCGTTGGTGGCGCAGGGATGAGTGAGAACTCGAACTCCGTTCCGTATCTGCCAGGGCTTGAGCATCATCGATCGACTAAATGGTTGCTTCACGGGATCTTCTACAACTTATCAGTAATTCACTTGAGCTTAGCAGCTGACAAATACAACCGCGGCGTGTGGACAGCAACACGGTTTAAATTCATCAAATACAGTGATCCATAATGTGGAAGGTAAGTCCACATGATATTACCAGAGATATGTTCAACATATACGGTAACATAGAGTTCACGAGCTATGAACAAGAACTCTACACGCCCACCGTTCGTTTCAAGGGATGCATGAGCTCTCTTGCAACTCTATCAGCAAGGTTATTTCTCTCCCAGAGGAGCCTGCGTCGTTGCATGTCGTAGAACCTTCAAATTTAATCGCAAACGGGATAACCAGTTAGTGTGAGCACTCACGTAATAGTGTCCTCCATCCTAGTGGACGACTCTGTCTTGAACTCTCGTGAGAGCAGGGACCGGTTCAAAACTCGCAATTCTGGCACCAGTCAGCGTTGTCTCCTACTTCCCCCCGAAGACGCTCACTGGGGAACACTGCCGCCATAGCAAGTGTGAAATTAGCCGACTTAGTGACCGGACAGGGAGGGCCCCAGTCCGGGTCCACAAGGTTGAGAGTCTCGAGTGATGGCAGTCGCGACACTAGAGCTAGGATCTGATCCACCATCAAAGTGACGACATTCGCTTTCGAGTTTGTACAGTTTGAATCGAGTGTATCCCCTCGTTCGCTGCTGCGTTTAACTCGGTGAGATGTCCAAGCAGTGGTTCAGTCTGTGTCATCGACTGAGTTATGATGGCAGTCAAGTCATTGAGAGACTTATCGGTGAGCCGGTTGCGGGCCAGGTTTAGTTTGACGAGTCTTGGACATTGTCGGGGTACGACTACGACCGGAAACAGTGCGCGAACAAGTTTAGAAAATCATCTCTTTCTCACTCGCTATCGTCACTATGCAGTTTCCCGCCGCACTGAGCTCTTCGAGTACGGCCATTTCGCCACCAAAGTCGAGGGCTTCAATACTGTTGTTATCGACATGAAGTTTTCTCAACGTTTTACCACATAGCCTGAGGGGACTCCGACAAGACCTGTCGAGTCTTGGCACGATCATCTCACTGCACGATTCCATTGAGAGAGTCGATCCCATTGTGACTAAGGTAAAACTCTTCCAAACTCTCCAGTGGGACTTCACAGTTGAACCCACCGTCTACTGATGTGTGTATCTACTACAAGGTTGTCGGCAAGCACGAGTATTCCTATCGCTCGTCAGTCAACTCATTATCTCTCATTTTGGGTCAGCGCATCTACGTCTGAATAGATGGAGACGATGATGGGACTGACGATCCCATGATCGACTCTAGTGTATCTGCTGCTTGTCTTGTGTTGGCCAATGGGACAGCACCCCGGCAGCAGCAGCGTCATTCGCCCCGTATCGTTGTGGTACAGTACACTATATTGAATATTGAATCAAAGCTTTTCAAGAATGAGATCACTTTTCTGTTCTAGTTTATTCTAACGCCGAGAGGCGTTGTGTTCCTATCGCAACTATACAAGAGCCGTTCAGAAGTAATAATGTATCCCGCCGTAGCTGGTGCCCTTTCTCGACTCACCATCCAGAGCTTCTGCAGGTTAGGCATTTGGTTCGCGAGCAATGATATTGACACGGCACCTTCGAACATCAAGTCCAAGCTGGTGACGTTGATGTAAGCAATTCCTTCAGCAGCGGCCACCCTCAACCTAGAGAGAAGAACCTATTGATCCGTACTGGAGGTCCCACCAAAGTAAAACCGCAAATGAGAAGACGATTGATAAATCGCCATACTGAAATGAAGCACATCTTCACTATCACCAGAGTATT